TGTCCTAAGATTACAAAACTGTTTCTGTGCTACATGGTAAAGCCTTAGTGAAATTCAGTGAGACCCATTCCTGCAAATTCCTTTGGAAAATCGCACTTATACTCCCAGGTCACTTAAGACATTTTCCAAACAGCTAATTTTTACTGAGACATAGCTAACTATAAGAAAAATAAATAAACAAATAAACTCCTTTTTTTTTTTTTTTTTATTAGAGACCAGAAGAAGGAAGAACATGTCCAGGAAGCCTGTTTTAATCTTTTGTGGTCCATTGGAATCTGCTTCTTTTGACCACAGTTACCAAGATAAAGGATCTGAATGTGAAATTTCAGACCAGTGATATGACAGACAGGGGAAATAATTCTGCACCCATCATAACACACCTAGATCAATTATATCTGTAGTAGCTGTTTCAAGATAGAGCGAGATTCAATACAGAGTACCCACTGTAAATCCAACATCCCAGAGCAGATGCTCCTTCCTGTACTCATCCTGTGCACGCATGAGTCAAAATATCCTTTCAACCCCTTAAGAAGAGGGCTCTCCAAATGATACATACTGGGCAAACACTGTTTTGGTCCAAATCACATTCCCACAAGTTGTGATTCCCCCGACCACTTACTAGTATAGCACCCCAAAGAATCTGGTACTGCTAATGACAACCCCATTGAGAATACCTGACTCAGAGACATTCACCCCATTGACTTTGCCAGGATTTAGGGTTCTCACCTTGTATCTCACAGCAGGGAGAGAAGCAAACACAACTATAGTAAGTAGAAGGAGAAAATGAATCTTAAAATCAAACCCAAGGCAACCAAATACGCCTACAAGCATACTTTCTTCTTTGCTACCCTAGGTCATGACCCTCATTCAAAAGAGGAAGGAAAGAAACTGTTCTTTCATTATTAATTTTGCTGTGCCATTCAGGAAAACAACACTGATACCACCATAAAACCACAGTTTCAGTTGCCGCTAGTATTTCAGCCAAATGCTAATGACCACCACCAATTGTCTAATATTTCTCATTACCTCTTTAGTCATGGTAACAAATTCCACTGCAGCTTATACAGGGTCTGATTAAAATCTTCTCTGGGTGAAAAAGAACCAACAGTAAAAAAAAAACAAACCCAGAACTACCCCTCTTCTACTGCAGTACTGGACCACTTCATTTTTAGATAGATAATAAAGCTGCATTCAAAAACTATGCAGTTGATGAACATTGTTTTAATTTCTGAAACAAAAAACACTAACTATGTCACCTGAAACAAAACACGGATAAGAAAAAGCCTGTGTATAGACTGCTGCATCATTAAAATTGGATTGAAAAAAACCCAACAACAAAAACCAACACAGAAAACAATTCGTCATACATAACTTCAAAGATACTTGGTTTTGTAATACACCTATAAAGCAACAGCATGGGTCACATCAGTATGATTTTTAAAAGTAATTAACAGTTCTATTCATTTATTTATAACTTACAGAGGACAAGATAATGCTGATGCAGAATCTGAATCAATACAGCACAATAAACTGCACAGCTTGCATCACACACCTGTCTGGTACATGCCCACAAAGCAGCAGCATTAACAAGATTGACTAAGGTTAGCAAGCAGCACTTGGGAGATCCAAAGTTTCAACAAAGTTGGGAACAAAGCCAGGCGCAGCACCATGGTGTCTCCATGGCGAAGTCAGAGCACAGAAGGACGCAGCCCACACACTGAGACTCATAGAAATCAAGGTTACTGCTTACTGCAAGTCAGACACAGACAAGGTCCCAGGATACAGAGCATGTCTCTTCAGCAGTACTGAATACTGTGAGCATATTAAAACTATTTATTGCTATTTCTGTTGGCTCTTTCAACAGAATGCCAAGACACCTTAAGCTCTAAGACTTTATCCTGAACATGCAATGGGCTGAACCCAGCATACACAAAAGAGCCTTAAGAATGAAGGTCACAAATTGACTCCACAGATCCATCAGGGCTTGTGTAAGAATGAAGAATTAATTTCCACAAGTACTACAGGCAATTACACACCTTCCCTCACAAGAGCAAGACTCGTTTTTATGACCAAAAAGTATACAAAACATAGCACTGCAGAAAGTTTCTTTTTCTCTTTCATCCTCTCCCCAGGGCACAACTGTTAGGTGTGGTTTGTCATCCCAGTTAGTGCAGCACTGGAACGCATGCCACTGCTCTATCAGAAGGGCTGCAGAAGAATGTACAGACAGAGGGGAGGGAAGACACAATGCCAACTGGCATTCACCTGGGGGTTTTTGAGAAATACTTCATAAGCAAATATTCCAACAGTTTTTCCGTTTAGTGGAATGGTTTCTCTGACTAGCTTTTTTCAGCCCTTGGGTGTGATTAAATCTCTACTCTACACACCCCAACTCTCTCAAACATAATTCTTACACTTAAATCTTGACATTTATATTATTATTTTTACAAATTAATCTTTCTCTATGGAGTGTACCATAACGCTCTAGGGAGGCTTGTATGTTCCTGTGAGACTTGCAAGAGTTTTGCCAAGAGGTCTGAACTCTGAAACAGATCAAAGAGAAAGCAACAAGATAAAAAGAAACAGGGTTCTCCAGACAGGTCAACCATCTCCCCTCGACAAGAAAAAAAGGATGGTTCACAGAAACAATCAGGTTTCAAATTTAGAGGAATTATGCCTTAAAATACTATAGATGTCATTCCTGTACTACTGGCTGGTTTCACTGAATAGGAGACCAATAGTCTCACGTTATGCTTTAATGCTGATGAGTTACAATTTTAGGCTGTACAAACTTCATTGATATGGAAGAGTCCAAAAAGCCACAGAAGCCTCACAGACAAAGTAAGCCAGAAACTGCCTACCTATGACCATTGCTTTAAAGCATCAGAAACATTACAATGTTGAGAATGCTAAGTGCAAACATACATATGAAATTCTAAAACAGATTTGCCAAAAGATTTGATAGCCAACTTTTCTTCCAATCCTGCTGCTTCAAACGTTCAACAAGCTAGGTGGCCAAGCAATAGCACAAGTAGGTCTTAAAGCCAAAACGAAACTAAATGAAGCCAACAGTGATGGTTTATTTCAGCAGAAGATGAGAATTTATACAAGAGATATATAGGTTCATATCTAAATCTAAAAAAAAAAAATTAATAATAATTATTTACAATGTTACACTCAATATACAAATTTATCTGTTTACCCTGTTTTTCCACATCCTGACTTCCAACCTAGTTTGTCAGAACACAGTTTTTGATCAAAAAGCACTGAACCGATGTGACACTTTTTACTTTATAAGTAGAACAAACAAACAAATAAAAAATGTGTTGAACTGCTTTAGGCTTTGCCTAAACTAGGATGAAGTAGAAACAATGCAAGTGGCCTCACCAATCAGAAGAGCAAAAAAATATTTTATCCAGCAAGGTTGGAATTTCAAGAGTTTATAAATATATATGCTAAGGATCTTAGTGTTTGGCCAGACCCATTTATAGCCTAGAATCATTTTATGCAGCAAACCAAAATGCTACACTCATTCCAAGTGCTAATTAAAACAGCAGCTAAATTACAAGTATAATTGAAAAATTCCCTAAAACAGTAATAGCAAATTATCAAATTCTACATCATTGATTACACAGTAAATACTCCTAATTTTAATGATCTCATACATCATGAAAGTCCTACAGAATCACTCAAATAACGTTATGCTTTTCAGGATATATACCATTTCTAAGGATATAATGTGCAGAAAACCTAGCAATTGCATTTACCTCACATTAGGCTCTTGGGAAAAACTATTTTCCACATCAAGAGTCAGATCTGCAGTCAGAATCATGCATAGATGTACGTGTTGAATTCCAGGAAGAACTCACAAATTAAAACTGAAACTACAACACTGAACATTTCTGAAATCTTAAGATGGATAGTGAAGAATGCACCGTGTGCTTTAGCAGCTTGCTAAGGAATCCTTCTAGTCTTTTAAAACAAATGCTTGTATTTGCTTACTAAATATGCACCTTGATCATATGCAGCATGACATCAGAACAAGCATCTGACTTAAAAAAATGAAGCTCAAAATCTCAGTGGCAATGTTTTCTATGCACACTTTTTGTTTTCCTCAGCTTTTTTTGTTAGATCTACTACTCAACTTTAAAATAATACACAATTTACTGGCCAGGAGAACTGTGGAGGTAAAAGAAGATGGGGAGAGGGGCAGAAAGCAAGAGGACCAGGTTCCAGAAGAAACACAATTACTAGATACACAAACATATTTTGCACACACTGAACACACAGAATAAATTTTATACACCACAACACAAAGAACTACTTCAGAAATACATAAGAATTTGAAGCACTGGGTAATTAAAAATACCAGAAGGCAGCATCCTTACAGGGAAAGAAAATGAAAAAGCACAGTAACCACCACCACCGTTTTTATGCTTGTGTACTTTTCCCTCTGTATGTAGGAAAAAAACAAAACTCTTGAGGAAAAAAAACCTTGCACACACAGACAGGGTCACACAAGTTATGAAAGAGATACTTAACACAGGCTCCTGAGCAGATGACAAGCTATTAAGCTTTCACCTTTAGGTAGTTAGGATGATCTGATGTCTCTTTTATGATACCTCCCCCTTTTTTTAATTAAAATCTACAGTGTGTTTAACAAGCAATTCTTCCATCAATCTTTGATGTGTTTTACTTATAAAGCAGTGACAATTTTCAGTTCAGACTCCTTAAAGCTCCAGAGAAACCATTTTCCACTCACTTGCTTTGAAAGCCATTATAACAATTTGATGAAGAACAGCAGCAGGGGGCTAACAGAAGCCAAGGCTTAGTAACAATCTTTAGATTTTTCTTCTAAGACTTTCTCACAGACCCTCCTCACAAAGATCCTCAGCGCTTTTCATCCTCTCCTCACAACCTCCCCAAAAAGATCAGTTCAAAGTGACTGTTCCTGGAGCAACTAGCTCCAGGTTCTGATATTTTCTTAATTTCACTTTTACCTCTCAATTTTGAGAGACTCAACAGGAATCTAATTCCCATAATGGTGGTCATGTCCTCATCCTCTTCCTGTTGGGAAAAAATAATACACAGTAGGAGTCAAGAAGTAACTTGGGAACATCTTCTAAACTGTTACCTATTCTAAAGAAAGCACTGGCAAAGACAAATATACCCATTACTTAAAAGTCATATACAACTGGCATTCAGTTAATCAAATTAATTAGTGATTAACTGATTAATGATTTATATACAGTTCAATGTTTTACTGCAGTATTTCTGAAACCTTCATAATGACAGTGACCCTGTAATAGTTTAATTTTTGGAATACAAAGAACCATGCAAGGCAACTGCAAATCATCTTCAACTACTCTTTAAAAATGGGAACTGCCTGTAACAAATGCCAAGTTCTTTGGTTATAGCTTCATGCAAATGTAGAAATCAAGTTTTATGGAAAACAGAACTATTAGGATAGAATCACTAAAGCATATTTTTTAATCTCTGTCTTTCTGTGCTCACCACCATTTTATTTCTTTATTATTATAGCCACTTGAAGGACAATCTTTGCTGATCACTAATTTTGGGGAACTTCTGAAACTCCAGAGCTCTACAGATTCTTTAATTGCTATATTCAAATAATGCCACTGCGGTCAAAACACCACACATGTAATTTCTGCAATAGGAACAGCTACTTCCATGAAGCAGGACATAGCTATTCACCCCTGTCCTGGGTTCAACAACCCCAGATTCTAGTTACAACCTCAGTAGACATGGCTAGGAGCAAACATGGACTAACGGAGACCAGATACATTGCCTCCTTGAGGACAGGGGCAGCACATATGAGAAATCTGAGGTCAGAAAAGACAGATGGTGGGGATGCTCATTACAGCCAAGTCAGCCCTTGTCCTTACACTGTTAAGCTTTATGTTTTCCAACTGGTGACTCTCAGCATGTGTTTCTACTTTATTTTAGCAAGCTTGTATTTGTAAAACAAACTGGGAGAATACACTGTGGAATAAACTTTGAAATGTCTGATAACGTATCAGTACTTTCTCAGAGCAACATTAACTTTCTGCAGCACTCCCTTCTGCTAAAGTAATACACTATTAAAATGTTAATGCAATGTCTGGGGGGGGGAGTTAATGATATTTTCTTTAAAAATTAAAAAAGGCACACACAAATTCTAAGTCAGTGAACTGACTTATAATCCTGTCGGTAAGCACATAAAAAGTTTTTGTTGGCTTTGAGATAATTATATCCCAAATATTGGATAAAGAAGATTCATTAATAATTTAAACTAAAGAAGTTTCAAGAAGTACAGAAACAATATCCTGAAGAACAGGAACACTTGTGTATAATTTTCTACAAGGATACAATCACTTTGCAGAATTGAAAAAATATAAGGCTGAAAAGACCTCACAAGATCACACAGCACAACTCTCAGAACAAATATACATAAGTGCTATGTTACATAATATAGGCCAGATACAGAATATGCATCTAAGCATTATCCAGTCACAGCCTCCATTCAGCCTGTTCCATTATTCAAACTCTTCAACCATTTGTCTGATGTTAGGATTAAAATAAATACTTGCAATACTGTATATGTAATTGCACTGCAAGATTGTTGTGCTTGAAGTACACGACCTGGAGTTCATCATGAATGCTACTGTGGAATAATCATTTAATCAAAATTACCATTAGCACTACTTCTTTCTACATTAGTTTTCAAGTATTAATGCTTACTTCTCCAGGAGGGTAAATTTTTCCTTTGCCAGATTTTCTATTTTCAGAGAAAGAACATCTCTCACCTTTAGGAGTTTAGCCTCATTTCCCTATAATGTATTCATCACCGCTCAGCACATCTGTCCCAGCAAATCCCATTTCCTGTTCTATTCATGAGGCTCAGCAACCTGGAGATTTAGCGATTGCTGCCACACTTTTCCCATGGCCTTCTCACCTCTTACTCCCCCCACGCACCCCGCTCCCATTGTTTATCATCTGTTCTCCCCTGCTGCAAACTGCTGTCAGATGTTCACTTATCCCTAATCTTACTTACTGCTTTTGATATTCTTTCTAATCCAACAACCTGTCAACTGGGGCATCAGCCCATGTCCAGACCAGCTGCTCTGTCACAGGCCATAAGATTCCCTCTCAGCTCCAAGAGGTATTTAAAGGATTTTGACACAGCAACCACAACGTGAAACAAATAATTAATGCTGTTTTGATCAGTGATCAGGACTTCAGTGTGACATAAGCTGACCAGTAAGAAAAACTGAGCTTTACTTTGTTTAAACTTCAGTAAACCTTAGCGTTACTGTATTAACAAGATTTTGATCATTGTCTGAAGGCCAGTACCAAAAAGCTAAGTTCTTTAACTTGTTCTGGTTAAAATTATGAAGAATAACTAATCTGAATGCAAGTCAGAGGGGCAGTGAACATTCTCTGCCTGCTGTTTAAAACATGCTTATCAATGCAACATCAACTTGTGTAGAGTTTTCAAAGCACAGGAGCTGACCTTTTACAAGTTACACCTGAAAATACAAATGTATTTTAAATATGGCAGCACTTGAGGTAATTAAAACACACTTGTATTTTCAGGAATGTAATAAAGCATATCCCATATATATATCCCATGAGTTTCATCCCATATAGAAATCAAAACCAGACATTTTAAAGAATACTCCCATTTACAGAAAATGTCTAATTTCCATAATATTCAGATTTGCTATAAACACTTAAAATGTTAGTGTTCATCTGCTTTAAAACATACCAAATAAACATAGTGTCATTGCTGAAATGATTCAGATGACAGATATTTTTGTACTGAGAAAATTAAGTTTCTGCTATTTAAGCAAACATACGTATTTTGATCCAAACTGGAAAACAAATACAGCACTTAGTTGTTGAACAACATGAACATGATTTTACTTCTATGATCTACAAGAGATGGTACCAAACAAGTAAAATAATGCCTACTTTATACCATGCAGTAGTTGTATTTCACAAACACATACAAAATACTAGAAAATCTCAGTGATGGATTTTACAACATGGCTCATTCACTTCAAATTAAACTAATTCTATTCTTAGGGCTTGTCTATACCAGGACATTAATAAAATGAAGCCCAAGTAAGTGCCTTGATGAACTTGAATTCTGCTAGTTAAAACTCCATTAAACCCCCGTGTGGACACAGTCATTCAGTTGAGTTTACTGCTCCCTTAGGGCATGCACTGGAAAGTTAACATGGATTAAGGTAGGGTATAAATTCAAAGTGCAATCATACTTTGAAAATGGTTTAACATAAACAGAACCAGACTCTTTGTTGTAGAATGAGACGTGGAGTTAATCAGGGAAGTCCTGTGTAGACAAGCCCTTGCAGATGAGGCGTCTGGAATGGTATTGTCAAAGCCAGTGGTTTTCAACCTCTTCATCTGCAGACCTGGAGACATCTTCCAGTGAAGCTGCAGACTTTGGCAGTACATTAAAATCTGCTGATAATTGATCTGCTTTTCTTAGCTGACTCACATGGATGACCTACAAGTAGTCTAACGGCACTCTGTGAGCTACATATCAGAACTTGAAAAATACTGGTTTAAGCTAACTACAACTTACGTACCTCTTCCTAATACTCAATCTTAATTACACAGCTATTGCACAGTAACCCAAGTAACCTAGCTACTGATTACATTAAATGAGATTTTGATGTTCATTTATGCAACTGTAAACACATTTTCAGCCCTGTGCTAGGAAGTTAAAAAAGGTTAAAAAAGTTAAAAAAAGCCTTATGCTTTCCAGTAAGTGACATGTGCATAATATGACTGACCTAAAAATGCATTGTTTTGTCACAGCCAACTACTTTTCACATATTTACTTCAAAAAACCCTACACTCACTTGTCAAAGCATGCTGATAGAGAAATTAAGGTTAATACAACATAATATTTGCTGAAAAAAAACCCCAAGTATTAGTGTTGTTTTCCACTACTACTCTTATTAACAAATTCTTCTCATTTCCCCCTTTAGCAATCCATAAAAGTCCCATACAAAAATAACTTGTACAAATTTCCAGAATTGAATTCAAGTTATATGGCAAAGCAGAAGCAGATACACCTAGATTCCTTAATTTCTTCTTTTAAACCTGTGCTCTAATTGCAAAGAGCACTGTTTCTCCCAAAGGAAATTATGCTCCCTCGGTATTTAATTCCCTAATGTTTCACTTTTCTTTCACCCACATAAAAGAATTATACTGCGCTTCAACCATAATTCCAGTTAACACAGCAGCCATCAGATCAGTCAGATCAAAAATATGTCTCATCCAGGATTCTACCTCTGGCAGAAACCAAAGTGCCTAAGGAAGAATATACTGTTAAAATACTCTCAGCCTCCTGCAATTTGCAGCTCAGGGACTTCCTGAGCTAGAAGCAGTTATGTTTGCATTTAAGATTAATACTATGTACTGACATAATAGACTTGACAAGCTGAAGAAAATGAGACAAATTCTGCAGCAAAAATGGCATCTCCTTTTATTGCACCGCTTTGAAAAAATGAACTACAAATAAATATATTACTCAGTAGCATATTTCCTACTACTAGAGCCTTTTGAAGATTCAACAGAAGACTCACTTGTTTGAACAGGTAACTTAAAAATCTGTTTACTCCCTCAACAGCATCATTTTTAATTGTCAAAACAGAAAAGAATGTTTTATGTTTAGAAAAAAGCAGACGGAAGTTCCAGAGAATGTTTCAGGCAGCTGGGCACATTCATGTTGCAATTTCCATACCAAAAAAAAAAAAAAAAAAAATTTGAATGCAAAATCAGATTGTTAATGTTATTGTAACACTGCACTGCTTTGCTTTTTTCATCTTCAAAGATTTCAAGATACTAATGATACAGGCCTCACTTTTTTTCTGCATGTATACATATTTTAAACTTCATGACATCTCCAAGACAGTTAAATTGTAAGGCACAGAAACAGGGTGGTTGCTCATGGTCACACAAGAAACCAATAGCCAATCTAAGGTTAAAAATAGAAATTCCTTCTTCACTGATGAATTGCGCATTACTG